TGTAGGATCTTCGTGTAGGCCTTAGAACTCTCTATGGATGCGTCTGCAGTCCGTTCATCGCAATTTTTCGTACATTTTCGATCGCGACAACCGATTAATCGAAGTAAGACAAATAGCATGGATTGCATTATTTCCCCCATAAGATCGTGCTTTGCCGACAATCGTATCGCAATTGTTCCCTTACCATTCCAGGGCGCTAGTCCTTTCCAATGAAAGTTATCGTAAAATCGTGTGAACTGTTGTGTAGGATCTGAGGCGTACAATCAGCCCGATTTTACAGAAGTAATATTCATGAGTACAGTGTATAGTATGATAGTCATGCCAACTTGGCCCTCGAAGTGAGTTCATACGACACCAAGAAACAGCGAAACATTTAACTCCTCGTGCAAAAATAAATAAAAATAAATTACAAACTAAATAGTTATCGATTTAATCAAGTGGATAAACAAATTATACGTATCATACAATTCTTCGCACGTCATTCTCCAATAAAAGCAGTCGGAATGTTCTCGAAAGCAGCATTTCTGCTCCCCTCCGCGTCAACTGAGCCAAACTATCCCCGCACTCGCGACAAATAATCAATTTTTTTACAAAAGAAAAATCACCACGATTCCCGAACATACACCAAATTTCGTTGAGCAATCGCACGTAAAATCGTCCGAAATAATCAAATTCGTTCGTACCAATGTCTGTTCGCATTCATCGACACGCGAGAACCCCTCGTGAAACGTTTTTTCTCCTCGCGTAGACGAACGGGCCTCCGTAAACGCAGCCACGATCTCGCAAACCCCAACCGCGTGGAAAGAACCCCCGAACGCATCGTGTACAGAGAAACAACGAGACGACGGAATCTGGGTATCGACGCGCGGTCAACGCGCCGCGTTCGCGAACGTTTTGAAACGAAAGAAAGGCAGAAAAAAAAAGAAAAGAAAACGAAACGCGAAACGTGTGTGCGTCCTCCATTACGATTGTGTTATGCTGACTAGACTCTAAATTATCATTGTATACACATCTATCGTTATTCCATCGCGTAGTTAATTCTATATAATATTTATAATAATGTGTGAACGACGCGCGACGGTGTAGATGCGCCCTCTCTCTCTCGTCGCGCACTTATCCTTGTCGTCGCGACGTTCACCATTTTACATATCCTGTATAGGTACATTCAGAGCTTACGGCTGTTTCTTATCGTAAAACACAGTGTTACATGGGGATCTCGCGTTCATTCGCCGACGAGATGTACAACAACCTGGCACACGAAGGGTACAGCCCCTGTCGTGCACGCGATACGTATGTACGCGATAGGAGGGACTGGAATGGCAGTGTTTCCGAAGTGGTTGCTCGCCCGCACCGCCAAACTATCACACTGCGTCGATTCAAACCTGGGCCCACGGATGTCGGTTGGGAGCTTGCGCCGTGCATCGCCGATCAAGTTATTCTCGAGCGGCGGGAAATCGGAAACGCGGATTACAGTTCTCTTTGCGGTGTGTAGTATAATCTTCGCGATCACATCTCACATATCATAAATATCTGAATATAATATATTTATATTTATATTTGCATTTATATTTATATTCATATATATATTTATATATTTAAAATAATATACTTCTCTCTTTCATTCTCTCTCATACACTCACATATATTCTCTCATTTATATAGGTATATACGATGCATTCCCTCGTGTGAATCCTTTGTCGTTCGTCACGTGATGCCTTTATGCAGTAACGGTCAAGTTTCCGTTCGCAAGTATAACTTGAATCTCCGACGCTCGTCGTCGTCGTTCATTTTTTTATGACTCTGTGGTATGTATCGGTGTGTGTACGGTTTTCGTGTGGGTGTGTGTGTTTATATATGTTTGTATATTTATATATGTATGCGATACATGTGTGCCAGACACGTCTTTGCACATCCCCAGAGTGCGTTTCACAAAACACCCGTCACGAACGAATCGGCTCGCTCGAGTCCGTGTTAATTCCCGTCTACATTTTATACCCCTAATTACAGCGAAACCGATAGCACACGCAATAATATATCGTATATGGTATAGACACCATCGTGACTTTCGTGTCTCGTAGGGAGGGATTCGCTGGATTTAAAATCGGTCCAGAGGAATTATCTACTTTCGCGATGGCTGCACCGCCTCGTCGCAACGAGAGGGCGGAGAGCATCGTTTCGTTTCTGTCCGGCGCGGGTTCTACGCGTCCGATCGTTGGCATACGCGATCGAACTGATCGTTGGATCGAACCGATCGTTGGACCGAATCGATCGTTGGATCGATTCTCCCCTTCCCGATCTTTGATCACGTAAATATAGTAGATTCACTCGTTTCAAGAGTGTAAAAATCATCGAAAGATGGAATCGACGGTGGGTAACCAAAAGGGGAGAGAAAAAACTCGATCGCGTTCCATCCGATCTCGATGGATGCTCCCTCACGCCGGACGTCGGCTCGGTTTCTCTGATTCGCCGGGAGCGCCCGCGAGCGGCTCCAGACAGTTTACATCGGTTCACGGAATTTAATCGCGAATGTCTCTGATAAAATTCATCCAATCCGTTTACGCGGAAGTTTGGAACGTACGTTTTTCGTCGGATCGTTTGGTTGAATGTGAGGAGAAGCCGGGGATCGAAGGATCGAAACTTCGACTGTTGCACTGATTTTTCATGCACGTGGCATCTTCAAATATATTCTTTATCTTCAAGTCTGTGTGTATCTCTGGTAGTAAGTTTCTATTGTATCTACATAATCGATCGAAATACTTGGGTTGTATGACGACACGAGAAGATCTTCGAGGTTTTATGATCGACAGAATGTGCCTTAACATTTCATTCTCTCGATCAGAAGATGCTTTCGTGGATCTTCGATTGAATACACAAGTATTTCGATCGTTATCCTTTTTCGAGAATGAAGGTTTAATGTTTCATTCTCTCGCCACCGGTATATATTATTCTGCATCCTCTTTCTGTCTCCCCAACCGGTCCGTTATGTTTCTTAGCTTCGTCGACGTGTGAAAAAGATAGCAAGAAATACGGTCGATCCTTCCAGATCAACCCCGAGTATTTGCCTTCTATCTTTCCAGCATGCGGACTATACTTATGCCTTAAGTTTTACGCGAGTCTTCCCCGGGGTTGTTCGCTGGGCTCTTACGAATTGAAGATCGACGTTCGGGTTTCCGGTGAGAGTACAAGTTGCCGAACGTTCGACAGATACATACACAGACGTACTCCCACCTTTGGTCCCTCGTGTCGATCCTCACCCAGGAGACGACGCGCTGTTACTTTAACGTTACATCGATACTGATAGTTAAAACTGACAACGAGTTAAGATCGCCTTGATACAAGCGGCTTATTAGCACGGACACGGATACATACATGCACACATATATTTCTTTTTCTTTTTTTTTTTTTCTTTTTAAAGATTTTTCTGTCCTGTCGATGATGATCGTTAATGAAATTGTTGGGGTACACTGGCTGTCCTCGACCGAGTTCGATCTATAAGTCGAAATATTTCGTAGAAAACGAGGGTTACGGGGGTAGGGGTGTAAGGGTGTCGCGGCGCTCGTCCGCAGGCAGTTTTCGTTTCCGTTTATCACGCAATTTGTTAACTTATCAGCGTACGTTTTTGTATATCTTAAGAATCCTAGATGAGAACAGTCTTTGGTAAAAATGATCTCGCGTGTCGATGGTAAAAATGATCTCGCGTGTGGCTGGAAAAGGAACTCGCGGCTAGAATGAAACGTATTCGCGTGTATATATAATGTTCGTTTTATCACAATATGAAAGGGATTCGCGCGATCATACGGAATCGTCGCCGGTCACCGAGCATCACCGAGCGCGATCACGAGATCAGAGAACCGTGAATTATCGAACGATTAAGATTGTCGTCGCCGTGGATATTCATCCGTTTCTCGCGCGTCTCGACGATCGATCGGCCGGAAGAAATCGTGGGGAACACTGGCCGAGAATTGTCGCGTTCAGACCCGATACTCCTGTCGTTCCCGTCAATCGATCGATTCTTAATTATTTAGAGACATACTGGAGGGAAAGTAGTATCGATCACTCTCTTACTCTGTCTAGACACGGATGTATAGAATGTTCATACACAGATATTACACGTAACTGTCTCTTTACACGTCGATCGGTGATTAGTTTCCATTAATTCGATAGCAATCGAGTTCTGTGATTTGTTTAGTTAGCCGTTTTATTTGATTACGTTTACATCGTCGAGCGTTCGCACGTTTTCGCACGACTTTGATCCTATCCACCTCGTTCCTTCCGTTCAAAGTCGAGCGAACCGTGCTCGCCGCTCGATTCGACCGTTTTGGATCCTCAATTCCTTGTGACATCGCATATCTAAAATGTGGCGGAAAGAGAGAAAGAGGTGCAAAAGGGGCGGCTATTGTTAATTCTTTTTCGACCAGGTCCAATCCCTTTGTACGCGATAACCACCAGATAAACAGGCTCTAACTGTTCATACCATAACGGAACGTGTGCAACGGAACGATTCCGATCGAACGATCCCCGGCTCGTCGACGAAACCAGAGAGAAAACACTTAAAACGAAACGAGGGCGAATATAAGCGATTCTTTGGTAAAGAAGTGGTCGAATTATCGAACTTATCATAAAACGTAGTACACGTACATGTCTCTATACGCATTCTTATGGCCGTGCGTTAGTGTAAATGTGTAGATGTGGGTATGTTATACGCGTGTGTATATAAAGAAAACAAGGAAGTGTACACATACACGATGAAACAACGATCGACTGGGCCGGGGGCCCGGTGAGCGTGACCCACGCAACAAAAGTGGTTTAATGTTTTGGCACCCAAGCGCGACCAGAGACCGGGTCCCCGACTCGCCCCTATGGCGCGTGCACGCGTACCCTTCTCTCCTGTCTCGTATTTTCTCGTGTTCGCCCGCTAGCGTGTACGCGTGCACCTATTTATGGGAATGATTAATATTTATGATCGAGTCACCGTCCTTCCGTTTTCTTATTTTTGTTTATTTTTTTTTTTCGTTTTTGTGCGAAGACGTGTCCAATCTGGTCACTCCATGCGACGGACCCTGCGTTTGGGAATAGAGAAGAAGACACGTATGTAAATAATTCTGTGATTATTTGGTTGGGTATCGTTTGGGGCATGCAGGTAAATCCTTAAAATCCAAGATCACGGTGGGGATCTGGTTCCTTCGACCGCTCGGGTCGTGTGTCTCTGTGTACCTTGGGCGAGTCGAGTGTTTGTTTCTCGTGTCAGGGGGACAGAAGTGCTGCTTGAAGTAACGTAAAGGCTGATTTTCAAAGTGTACTAGAGACTGGAGGATATACTTAAAGCTGCTTTGAAAGTACTTAGATGGAATTGTTTGTAGAGATGTTGGATCAAGAATGTCGCGTTCAAATGTTTGAGTTGTAGGGTCAAGTCTTCTTTTTTTTTAATAGAGATACCCGTGGGAGTTGAGAACTTCATATATATTTATATATTTACTCATTCAAAATGAGATATACTTTGTATTCATGACTAGAATTTTTTTTATCTTCTACTCGTCATTGAAACTTGTTATGTTAAGTTATCAGTTGAGATTTATCGATCGATTGACTATATCGTCCACTAACTTTTCATTCTTAATCTATTCACATTCCAATGAAATTCCTCTTTATCGACTTTGATTATGCTTTTCTGTTACGAAACGTTACTCACGAGGAGAGCAGCCCAAGTGATTTGTCAATATTTCTGAAGTATCAAACCTCCAGAAAATTATTACTCAAAAGGCTTCTGGACAACCTTTTATCATTAACTTAAGTAACCCGAGCTCTATAACCCTGTAAAAGCTAATTTAAATATCGTCGTATCACATCGGGTACTTTCTCCATTGGGTCATAGATCCCTCCTCGTTTGGACAATCAATTTGGCTGGCTCCGATCGCACAGGATAAATCGGGACACGGTTAAGGGTGACGAGTTACTCACAGAATTAGGATTACACTTCGGACAGTGTGGAGCTCGATCGGTTACAGCGGCTCGGACCGGCTCGAGGAGGCACTGCAACCGAAGATCAGCAGGCATCATTGAGGCAACATCTTGCAGCTGGTCTCCATACCTTCTGGCGGCACGCGCATGTTGCCGTTAGTGACGTATCCGTTCGCGTCAACGATCACGGAGACGCTTCCCGGAGGATTGTGATAACTCACGTTTCGATGGGTCATCACAACGCCCTTCTCGTGCTCGTCACCTGCCTGCGTGGACAAACAACTCTCGCTGCTTCTGCTGCTGCACGGCTCCATTGAGTGATCGACTCGAATCGGAATCGTATAATTGGACATCGAGTTCACCTCGACTGTCGCGTACTCGCGGATCATCGTCGGTTTCGGTGAGTAATCCATTTGCATCTGTTGCATCGACGAGGTTGGCACGTCGGCCGGATCCAACACCGTGGAGACGTGACCGTTAGCCATGGCGTATAAATCCGGCTCCTCGTAGCCTTTCGACGACAGCATGGCTTCCATGCATTGGTACAGCAGCATGTAATCCTCCTATTAAGCAAGGAAAATGAATTCGTTAAAATGTGCGCAGTAGTATGTAAACGATAGATCACGGCAGCCATCTTTGTATACGCTGTGTGAGTTAGGGGAAGAGGAATCATTGACGACCCGCGTAGCTTACAGCTAGAGGATACTACTAAGTAGTCATCGATTTTGACACAATTTAAAATGGTCAAGGTAGATCGAACATAAACAGACAGGCCTCCAAATGTTCTGCATGGGCCCTAACAATCGAGATTTTAAAGTTGCATGCACTCTTATTCTTAATTAGAAAAGAGTATATGGTATCATATATGTAAACCAAAGTTTTTGTTAATTCAAATAAAGACATCACGAAATATTATAAACCTGAAACCCTAAAATTTCAATTGTTAGGACCTATTTGAAAGAACGCGCGACGTAGCCGTATTAGGGAAATTAATTCGGGAATTTCATTGAAAGAGGAAGAGCATATTTTACTCCGGAATACGAGTTGAACAGAAATAATTCTGTGTCATTCTGATGCAAAAATACATAATTCAGATGGAGAAAACTGAACGAGCAGACGGCATAAATAACATGAGGACGAATTTGAATATCGGAAGACTTTGCTACGAGAAGCAGCTGCCCTTGGCCTAGATTAAAATGTACATTCTTATGTAAAAGTACGTAATTGGCAACAGAACGAATACGATATGCCTTATATAACCTGAAAAAAACAATCTGAAACCTACCTTTGACCGGAATATTCCAGGTCGTTTCATATACAACAGCTTCGCGAACATGTAAATGTCGGCGCACTTCTCGAATTCCATTTGTTTGTTCAAAGTTGTAAGGAGGATAAAAGCCGCAGCCTCGACTCCGCCATACCTAAAAGAAGCGATCATTGATGTTACATCCACTATGAAGACACGTGACAACCTCTGTAAACCTCCAACAAAATTACCTATCCATCACGATAATAGGACCGTTCTGATAGTCCCGGTAAAAATCGTGGATCAGAGTGACGAGCGGTCGTGGATTGGTGTTGTGCGGCCAGAAACAGGGATTGGATCGCGGTCCTTGGACGATTTTGGCGCTCAGTTCGTAATCGTCTTGCAAAGATCGAACCGCAACCTCGCGGAGAATTATTCCATTCGCGGTTTCTTTGATTCCGCAGTATCGTACGCGGAAAGTCTCAGACTCCAAATCGTTCCCTTCGGTCGGCCAAAATTCAGGATACTCCTGAAAGTGAACAACTACACTTAGAATCCATTCCCCTTATTTAAAAAAAAAAAAAAATCATTCGGATGATACTATAGATCGCTTACTTGATTACATTCGGTTAACATGACTACGGTCTGCGCATTGTAGTCCCACATCATCTGCCAGAATTCCGTGATCGTGTTCTTCATGGGATGCTGGGTGACAATGAACTCGCGATTACGATGAAAACCTGCAACATGAGATTAAGGTTATCCTCCATATCACCTATTGACTATCTGAAAACAATTAGATATGATAATTTTTTTATTGTATTGACTGTCTGAAAGTAGTTGAACATGATAATTTACCGGCAATCCACGTGGCGTTGATATAGTCGCTGCCATCGATGCCAGGTTTCGGTGTTAAGTGTACGCGAGCAGTCTCGATGGAAATCACGTCCTGATTGCGATTCTTGTGGAGGTTGCAGGGCTTGATCGCTGACACCAAATTGAACTCCTTCGGTTTCCAGGAAGTTACCAACTAGATGCAATTGATTACAATTCAATTAGAAAGTTTAATTACCCCAGAACACTTTACTGCTAGTAGAACTTAGACATAATTGTACCTTATACTGTACTTCGAGGTTGTTCCAAGCATCGGTATTATTATTGTTAGGGTTCAGTATGTCTTGAACGTATCCCAGCAAGTTATTCTCGTTGATATAGGTGTCGCCGCTTTCGATAGCCTCTTGTAGAGCGTGATGGATGAACACGTATTGTTCCTCGGTCTGAACAAGGTAATCTCGCTGCGTGCGGATGTGTTTCAAGAATCCAAATATGTTCACCTCGTTTTTGCACTTGGCCTGCTTCAGCATAGCGTCGATGACGATGTAGGTGCCAGTGCGCCCAACGCCAGCACTAGAACAAGAAACAAAATTCAATTAACGAACTACCTCTTTTTATCTTCCATTCGGATCCTTCTTCGAACTTCCGCCTGATCTTACCTGCAATGGACGACTATCGGTCCAGCATCCGGAGGATTGGCATTGGAAGATTTCCGGATAAAGCTCAAAACCGGTAGAGGGTGTTCTGGCACTCCGTGGTCGGGCCATCCGGTGTAATGGTATTGCCAGACGACACGTTCTCCCATGTTGACTCCGTTCTTCTTCTTCTTCACCTGTGGTGATAGATTCGACTTCGAAAATTGAATAAAACGTATTACCACTGAAGACGCGTTCCGTTTATTATATAGAGACCAACCTTTAGATGACGAATCTGAAGAGTACGTATGGTGTAGGTTGCCATCACATCCTCCCGGAGCAGAGTCACCTGAATGTAACCGAAAGTCTCGGATCCCTTCTTAGGCCAGTACATATCACATTTTTTCTGCAATTCACGCAAACACGTACAACTTATTATATATCCGTCCATTCGCACCAAATTCGGCATTCCATAAAGATATACTTACACGTCCACGTTCGACGAGATTCGTGATCATCACGATGATCGACACTCTCTGTTCCCACACCATGCTCCAGAACCCGCCGAAAGTCGGCGGCAATGGACCCTGTGTGCCGATATAAGCCCTTGCACGCTGCCAACCATCGATGTAATTTGCGTTCACGTAATCTTGACTCTTTTTCGGTTGTCCTCCGCCGCATGCTATCTATAATCCTTGAAACAATCGTATTTACAATAATTCGATAATACCCAGGCGATTATTACTAGTACAGTGGGAAACAACGCTGTATAGTCTGCGTTTATTTCTATTCCACAGATTCTCATCTATATTGTGCTATAAAAATGATAAAAAAATGTCTATGCATTTTCTATCGACAACAGCTTTACCGATAATCTCCAACGTTTTAATTTCAATGAATAAGCAAAATTCTAATCCTTCCGTAATCATATCAACATAAAACATATATTACAGTACTCATTGTTCCATAACCATCAATACCGTTGTCGGATTATCTCGAAGACATCCCTACACCAACCGAAGGGGCTAATTAGATTCAGAAAATCCGTGGCTGGACGTAGGAGATTTCGATCGACCAGGTGATCAAGCATCTGTCTCCCCCACCCCGTTCTCCACCCCCTTACGCCCCGTCTCTCGCGATCCTCCTCTCGCTGATAGGCATTAACGAGCAGTCCCGCGAAGCAACTGTGACCTCATTGTCGGAGTGCCACCGGTCACTCACATTAAAAGCGAACGGAGAGCTGCTCGTTTAATCCGATAACATTGCGAACAGCGGACCGGGGCGACTGCTCGCTGCGTCGTCGTGAATTTCGAGCCGACTCGCGATCACGCGTACGGTTCACTTGAATTCCACGATGGTTCTTATCGGGGAACGGGTCGTGGTATCTTATCGGTGCAAAATCACGAGAGAGTTTCGTTTTCGCTTCTTTCCGTTCGTGTTAACTGATAAATTGCATCGGCGACGCGACGACTTCACGTGGCAGCCTGGAAAGGACGAAGGGGGATGCATCGTGCAGATTAAACGTCTGCATGCGATTTTAAAAAATATGTATTTCCACGAACAGATACGGCTTTCAGTATTTGTCGTCTTGGCGGTTTAATATATTTTTCGATAAGCTTACGATTAATCATTCCAGTATTGAGCGCAGACTGAGGTTAATAGCTGCCGTACTTAACCTTGCTACGGTCCTCGGATCAGCAATCTAGTTGAAATATTGACGAGGATAGAGATACACGTTTTCAAATAACACTATGTGCGATCAGGTCGAACAATATTGAAGTGTTTGAACAATATTGGAAATCGGAAAATATGATTTGGTCGAAGTGGGTCAGAAGAACGTACCAGGATTAAATTGATATTGCGATTTTATTTGATCGCATTTGCGCGGAATATAGCTTTTGTCAGAGAAGTGACAAAATTGTTGAAAATTGAGGGCATCTATATCCGGTACTAGATACTGTAATAATTGTTCTGTATCAATAAAGATTTCCGATGGAAAAATCGACATTACTTTTTTATACACTTAATACTTCGATGAATCAATATTATTATCTGTACCGATAAGTAAGCTGCTATATTCGTTTAAAAACAGCATTATAATCTAAATTTGCAGTATCTTTATACAGGCTTTTACTTTCAAGTTATAATAATTGAATATTATTCAAGGGGCATGGTATTATAATTCCTAGAGAAATAGATATTAAAAACCACAATATTTGTTCAAATTTAGGAAAACCATTGGACCAGGTACATTTACTAAACCTTCGACCAAATATAGTAGAATCATTACATTGTTATACCTAATATAGCACTAGAATGCCTTTCGATGGTTTGATGACGGCGTAATGATTTCATATTCTAGCACCGGCGTGTAACCAGTCCTCGAGTGTTTCGGTACTTTCGTGTTCTAATACACTTGAGCGTTTCAGTACGTTAATGCTTGAATATTCTAGTGCTTCAGTACTCTGATTATGAGTGCATAAGTGCTCCGACGTTCTAGCGCTTCGGTGCGCGAGAACTTGGTACACCAGAATTCTACAATTCACTATTTCCCTGTACGTATCAAACGGTTTATACGTCGATCGAGCAACGAAGACACGAAGCGACTCAAAGCAATTAACGAGTCGAATCAAATAAACGTTCATTTGAAGGTTGGACGCAGTTCATCGAATTTCACAAATCCCCGAGCAATCGTCTAGGTTCAGCTAGTTTCATGAATCACTTGAAAGCTACCGCGATTCTAGCGGTTAGAAAGCGAGATCGGGAACAATTTCAGCTCCATTGGAGGCCGTTACCACGCGAGGTCGGCCGCTGTTGCGACGATTGCGGACTTCCGATACGCTCGATCACAATTGTCGCATCGTGACGTCTCTGTCGTGACGAAGGTGAAATGTTCGTCGATTCACTTGATTGATTCGATCGACGACGAACAAACGAAAGGGACCATCCGATTCCGCTGGAAGGAAAGAAATCGTCGAGAAGTAATTGATTCGACGAAGACACCTCCGATCGCGATTTAGCGGAAGGTAACGCGCGATCACAATTGTTGCATTGTGACGACGTTGACGCGATGAAAGTGAAACATCCGTCGTCTTAAACAATCAACAATGAAAGGCGAAGAGGACAGTCGTGTTACACAGAATCGAAGAAACTCATCCAATGGGGAAGCAATCATTTCGACCAAGACATCTTCGATCGCAACTTAACAGAAAATAACGCCAGATCACAGATGCAACATTGTGATGACTTTGTTGTGGCGAAGGTGAAACATCCGACGTCTTAATTAATCAACAATGAAAGGCCGTATCAAAGGAATTCGTCGAATTGGGAAGCAATTATTTCGACGAAGACGCCTCCGATCGCAACTTAACAGAAAGTAACGCCAGATCACAGATGCAGCATTGTGATGACTCTGGTGTGGCGAAGATGAAACATCATTCGACTCGCTCGATCGACTATGAAAGGCGAATGCAACAGTCTGAGTACACCGAGACAAAGAAAATCGTTGAATTGGGAAGTAGTGGACTCAGATTAAAGGCAGCTTTAATCGATCGATCGAGATGATGGTCCAATTGCACCGACACGAAGGGAATCGTCGAATTGGGTAGCAACCGACTCGGCGAAGAAAGCTTCGATCGCGGTTGGGTGGAAGATAACGGCGACGGCGTCCGCAACAGTTGGCGTGACCCGAGTAAAATTAAACGGACCGATGTATCACCAGGATGAAAGGGAAACTCGTGGCCGTCTAAAATAGAATCCAGCGCCGGGCGGGAAGAAAAACAGGGGCTGCATGGACCTGTCAAAACCGCACGCGGAGAGGATCGAAATAAATTTTTTCCAGAGATCCAGTGTTCCACGATCTCGACGTTCCGACATTCTTGCGTTCGATGGCTGTAGTATATCAGTGCCCTGGCATTCCGGAGTTTCTGTACTCTGTGTTCTGATATTTTTAAAAACACATCGATAGGATAGATTTCAGATTTGTTTTTCGACGGTTATTGAAATCGTAGAGGCTGTTATTATTGGAATTTATGTTAACGTTGATGGTTCTAGTGATAATATCCGACTACTGTAGGAATTCCGATTACCTGCAGTTATGCATTAAATAGGAACTTAATTACGCAAGAACGTTTACGTTAAAAATTGCAGCATGGATTTAATACTTTGTAGTCTCGCTATTTGTAAGTCTGCATAATTTCTCTTTACCGAATTAAAAAGTTACACTACCGTATGCAACTGATATTTCAACATAAAGGATTTTCAATATTTCCTGCAATTTCGTACTTCAGGTGTTTCGATACTCTACCTTTGCAGTGAAATTCTTTACTCTACGATATTGCCCCTTGTGCACCGTTCAATAAATTTGGTCTAATCTAAAATCCTATAGTACCCGCTGACAACTGTAAGCGTACCAATACGCCATACAGTTTATCTTCCATTTTTGGCACTGCTATTTGAAATACTCATTTTTTCTCAGTTCTATAGGTTGCTTAGGAATACTACCGATTTGACTTTAATAGGTTGAAATTTCTCGTCATTATCATTAGAAATATATAATTCTAAACATATAAAACTGTTCATATGGAATACTTTATTCTAAGCCCTTTCCCAAAACTTGTTGTACGACATTATAAATTTTTATTAGGTGGGCATAAAATATCCCACCCTCTGGTAGTTAATCTAACAAAAAAAAGGCTTGTTATTGCGATAGTTGAAAGATAGAGCCTAGGAGAAACGAGACTCACAGGCGAGTATGTTCTGGTATCGGTTCTTCGCTTTGTTCTCGATGTTCTGGGAGTTCTCCGTGGTGAACTTGCCGGTCTCCGCCTGAATGAACTCGTACTCCTTGCTGAACCCGATGTCGCTGTCGGCGTGCAGGCTCGCGACGTGCTGCACGAACTTCTGGATCGGGACCGCGGTCCGTTCGCCGTCTTGCTCGGTGTTCTCCCATTCCTGGAGCGTGGGCACGGTCCGTGGCGGATAGTCGAGGAAGTAGTAAGCGGTATGGAAGCATTTTCTGAAAATTGGCCTCAGGCAAGGCCTGATCAGTTTCACCGTAAGCATGCATTCGAACGAAAAAAAAACGTAAGGAGAACGTAAATACCAAAAAAAAAAAATAAAGAAAACATATATGTAGGATGTTAAGGGGGGAGGAGACGAAGGAGAGAATGGATGGTTTATCGCGTCGTGAAACGATACGCCGTTATCAATGTCTCGCGACGTCTCCGGGACAGAAAACGAGACAAATTGAACGCAATAAAAGAAAAAGGAAGAAAAGAAAAACTCTAATGAGAAACCGGGTTGTGTCGGTCGTTTCACGATCGGATTTCCCTCCAGAAAGGAAAATAACGAAAAACTCCTTCCTTGTCCGCCGTGTTCTGCTTCCACAAATTACCCAAGTCACCGATTCAAAGGAACAGCTCCCTTTTACTCGTTTCCCTTTTTTCATTCGACTCACAATTCAAGGTACTTCTTCATCCCGTTGCCGCGTTTCTCCCACTATCCATCATACATGTCCACAGAGTTTCCGACCGATCGGTACCGTGAATCGTGCGTGGCTTTCTCGTTCGGACTACGAACGCAACTACTCCGTGCCTGAATCGTCCGTGACCCAGAAATATTCGTTCGAGAATCGTTTTCCCCGCCCGCGGATCTCTCACGGTATCAGAGTTCGCGATCGATGACCTTCGGCATCTCCAGGTCGAGACGATGAAAAGAAAAAAAAAATAGAACGTCGAATACGGCGGTGTGTATCGCGCGTGGCGACACGTGCTCCGAGTATTATACACGAGCACACGACCTGCGTACCCGCACGACTACCGTCGATCTGCTTCGCGAAACGCTGCGGCTCGACTGGGAAGCCTTACCGTCGACGTCGTCGCCGGCTCGTTATCGCGCGGCTGATAAGCGGTCAGCCGGCGGGACAGGAGGAAAGTGATTGCAGACGGAGCCCAATGAGAGAGAGGGAGTGAGGGAGAAACAGGAATGGGGAGTTAACGAGCGGACAGGGGAAAAATGAGGAGTTCAGGGAGACACCTGGAACGAACGTTCGCAGTTTCGTATTATTGTTTTCCAGTCCCGTTCAAGCCGAACGAAGGTTATATCACAGACGAGATATAAGAATAGATCTAACATCTTATGGGCAGGGCTGTTGCTGGGTTGTTAAATTAATTATTAAGCATAATGGAACAGAAAATTACATTGCATGTTAGGTCTATTCTTGATTCTTATATCTTGTCTGTGGTTATATCCAGTCTAAATTTTTGATGCTCTTCCGCGTGACCGCGACGTTGGTCTTTGTAAGTGCGACCGAGATCGATTAGCTTGGGCTATTTAGGGCGTCGAAGGATTCGATTTTTTGTTCTTATAGCGGGGAAATTGCAATGATATTCGATTTGTAATCCGAGGAATTGGGTACCTAGGTCTTTGTTGTTGGAGCTGATCCTTCAGTGTGTGAATGATAGGGGTCACTGAGAAAGGAGGAAGTGTGCGAAGACTGTTTGAGTATATAGAAGATTGGACAAGTCTATAGTTGGTAGAACTTCATTTGAATCTCAAGGTTACCGGGAAAGTATCGCAGCTTGTGAGATTTCTGGGGGAACAATTCAGTTCACACTAATTGCTACCAGTAATTCGTTAGAGAAAGAACCACTGTACTCCTCTTTAACCAGTTCGTCGTGTAAATTTTCTCTGTAAATAATTGTGTCCGAAGAACTTCAGTAAATCGTCGATGAGTGTTCGAAGGCTGGTAGTAATGAAGGTGTAACAGTAACTTTTTGATGAAGTTTAACACAGTGCTGGTATTTCTTTGAACCGCATATGGCCATTAGTTTATGAAATATTTCATGCTCAGCGTCGAGGAGCCTACGAACACTCATCGAGAGTTTACTGTACAGGTGAATTAAAACCATGTAATCCATCTTGCCCAACAACAAAAGCAATACGATATAGCTCCAAATGACACAGGTGTTAAAGTACGATTAAAGAACATTTGGATAAAGACTATGAATGAAAGAATTTACCTTGTCCCCGAATAAGAAATTACCAATAATGAAGCACGATGTTTCGGTACCGATCATCGAAAGTCTCGACTGGTTTATCAGCTACGTTTATCGGCTGCATCGATACGAATCAAGTGCACGGGATTTTTAAACGAGAAAACACAAGTAGAGGTGTTTCATGCAGAATAGAAACAAAAAACATTTATAATAGACAGACAGTTGATCCTCACTTCCATAGGACGAAGGACGTGATCATCAGCATCACCGCGAGACAGGCGCAGATCATCCCGGCGATCACTCCGTTGCTGAACTTCCTGGTGCTGTGCGACAACAACGGTGGAATCTTGTCGCAGTCGCGTGTGGCGCGGATCTTCCTTGGATCGGAGTCTGTTCCCTGTATAATCACCTGATTGTCGATGATGCTTCTAGTACCACCGCGCACCACGATCTCGTAGATAGTGTTCATCGTCAGATTGGGTATGATCGTCTGTGAATCAATAAGATCGTTCCACGTACAGCGATTGTTCTTAATGCTACAACCTCTATGATTAAACATTCCCGCAGGAAAGTATGTATTAAGTTATGACCACAGGAAATTGTTGATATTCGAATAAATGCTGAATAACCGTGATTGGTAAATAAACACTTCGAGTGCACACATCTTAAAAGTTTTTAGACGTGCACATGGGGGACAAGAGACCCCAAGTGATTTAAAATTCGAAATATGTCATAAACTATGGACTTTTCAAGAATAGTCGTGCAAGCATTTTTTGAAGCTTAATATTTGTACTTTCAGACAGAATAGTTGAGATTAAAGAAAAAGTAAACTGAAGTAGTATACAAGGGGTTTAATGTGAGGATGTTTTCAAAAATCAAGGTTCAAGTCAAAGTTGGGATTGGGGTCTTTTATCCCCACGATTCACTTGAAGTGTTAAATATTACTGGTCTTTTTCTATGTCCCGTGATTACTGAATTCTTATCGGGATTGTTCAACTATTCTGTGTAATTAAACAATATGGTACCAAAATTAAGGTTTCGAATACCTTTCCAATGTGAATTTCAATGAGGTCATGGCAAAGTTAGCTGAAAATTACAATGTCTTAATCAAGAAATCAATCGCAAAAATGGCAAATTCAATGAAAATTGAATATATCGGATAATACTTCGTTTGAAAAACGTTATTACTCGTCACGGTGCGTATATCAAACAAAAGTTACTTCTTCCAAAAATAAGTATCTTCGTTCCGATAAAAAAAAAATGGTAATTTCACGTGGTACAACCTAATAGAATTTCATAAGACGAGACATTTAAATTCCGTTTCCGGTGCGTCTAGACCGAGGCCGCTTACTCATCGACAGATAGTTCAACGTCAGCTGTGTACGGTCTCCGCAACAGATTTTTCTTCGACGAAACTATCGACGGTCGTACGATCGGAATACTATTATCTAGAATACGGGGTATCGTAGGCGACCGGTGCAAGATTAGAAGGAAGGAATCCGCCTACGGCCGGTGAAGCTCGATAGAACGAGAAAACGAAAGGTTCCCGATTCGAGTTCCGGTCCAGTAAACCCCGTTAGCGATTCCTTTCCATGGTCAAGAAATCCTCGCCGCGGAGATAAAGGAACGCAGAAAGTGGAAAGATTGTCGTGGCTGGATGATGCTTTTAGTACCGTTGGCCACCGTGACGGAAACGTTGAAGAAGCAAAGAAAGAAACAAATGAAAAAAAAAAACAAAGAAAAGGAAGTACGAAACGGTGAAACGTACGGCGCTCTCGAGGTGATCCTTCTCGGTGAGCACTTCGATTTCTTCGTAACGATCGGCGTTCTCGATCCTATAGTTGATGAAGTAGTAGTCGATCGAGCCCCAGAAGACCTGCGGCCTGGCCCATTGGATGTAAATGGAATCGTTGGTTTGGCAGCTGACATTCAAGATCCGAGGGGCAGACGGTCCTTGGATGTCCGTTTGACGAATGATGTAATCCGAGGGCTCGCCCTCGTTCTTCCATGTGTACGCCTTCACCCATATCTTGTACGTGGTGTTCGGTTCTGTAAGAGAAGGTTGTTTAATCGGTATGAAGAGGCTCCGGTTGTTCCAGCAAACTCGGTCGTTTGGCCGGGGACCAACTGTTGTGGCGCTGGGACAACGCAACGGCAGCAATAGCTCGTGAAATTGGCCATCCGCGTGACTGTATTACAACACCAGTCACGGTGTATGTGTAATAATTGATGATTGATGGAGAGTTGGAGCACGATACGCTTGAAACTTTGTGGATCAAGATCCTCTAAATTTTAGTAGACCAATTACTGAGTAATTAGCAATTCGAGTTTAATGTTGTTCTCGTTTGGAATCTGTATTCAGAGCTTTAATGCTAGAGCCTAGTTTAGATGAGTCTAGGTACATTCAGATTGATATCGGTACATTGTTATCGATCTATATAGTAACTGCTGTCCACTGCGCTTTATTAATGATCACGTAACAATCACCTCTGTACATGGCAGAAGCAATTCTAAGCTGTGATTCTAGATAGCTTCGAAATGGAAAAAGAACGTCAGGAAACCAACGTGTCGGAAAATAACGAGCTAGTGCCTCGTTAGTCGAATGCTCGACGCGTTATCTAACAGTGCATTCATCTGCAGTCATCGAGCTCGAACACGCTGATAAGAACTTATCGACCAGCCAAGCGCGACGATGTCTCTAATTCCTGCACCTGAGCCGATAATTCTTGGAACCGATATTACGAGCCCGTTGTTTGCTCAATCTTCGCCCAGCCCCTAATAAGCGGAATCGATCGCCGGATGTCAATTGAAGCGGTCGAAATAGTCCGCCCCCGTTACGTCGACGAATACTCACTTAGCTCCTGCAAGAAGAACTCGGTAATCGGTTTCTCGTCGTTCTCGGTTTTGAACATCTGAACGTCCGTGTAGTTCGAGTACATGTAGTATATACGATAACCGGAAATTATCCCATTCGCGCTATCCGGCTCGGCCCATGACAATTCGATGGTGGTGGAGTTGATGCCGTGCGACGAGAGGTTCATGGGTTTCGTTGGCACTGTAACAGAGAAGACGAAAACAAAAGTTAGAACAAATGAAACTAGCCTCCCATTTCCGGGCCCCCAACATTTTCGTTACACCCTGTATAGATATATAATATATAAATCTACAACGAAGATACACTTCTTATTTTTACATTTTACTGTACAATTATACTTTTCTCCCTCACTGTACAGCGACGCCAAATATGAGTCGAACGCTACGGTCAGTTTCAATAGTTCCGCGGTTTATTTTCCACGGGCGCCGCTTTCGAGCGAGATATCCTTGAGAAGATTGCATGAAACGGCAATTTTCCGTATTTTGCGCGCAGTATGGCTCAATATCCGCGGCTCCGTAAACTATTTTTCGGTCGATGCACTTGGCAGCGCGGCGTGTGTGCGCGCGCGCGTCTCTATTTCCCCCTTCTTTTCTTTTCCTTTTTTCGTCGGTGGTGCTCATCATCATCTTCCAAGGTGGCTTTCCAATTTCCCAGGTACAAAGACCGAGAGCGGGCTCGCGACGGGCCGAAGTCTGAATAATTAATTTCGCCTCGAGTGTCTTCTCAGACCCCCTCGCGTCGACGAGCAACTTCATAGACACCGTTCCCGCTTTTCGTGTATACCAACGTGTCTAAGATCGAGGGTTGCGTCCCTCTCGACGACGTCTGGAAATCTTTCGTGGAACGGAACAGACGGGTCGACTAACTTCGATCGAATCTGGATCGATCGAGTTGGAGTCGAAACGACGTACGTGGAATGTGAAATCACGTAGGGCTAGATGCTGATGGAGTGAGAAATAGTTATGGTGCAGACATAGGGGAACGCCCCTGAAGTCAATCTGCCACCCTAAAGCCACCGAGGATGGTCAGGGTATCGTAAATAACGGAACGAGTGGCGACAGCGATGACTTCGGTGTCTGAACGTGTATTCACTCCTCCCAGATGACACTGTTTCTCTTCGGCAGGACCCGGCGAGACATAAGTCTTCGTGACAGGTTGCACTGGTTTAGGGTAAGAGGGGATATTATGTATCGAGCGTGTTCAAGTCACTGTCACGTATGCGTAACATGTGTATACTGCTTTCTTGTTGACGCTTGAAAGGCTTGCCTTTTAAACGAAGTGACGATTAGTGGGTCTCAGATGTGAGCGAAAGTTTATTTAATTGGACGGTGGTGTATAAGTTTATGGGGTGCCCTGTAAGTGGTAGTAGAAGAGAAATGGTAGTGACTCTGGGCGAAAAAATAAGGGAAAACTATAGGATAAAGTTTGGTTTCAAAATATTGATCGAGTTTGAATTTTAATCGAGCATTGAAGTCCAGTTTCAGCCAATCGCTGTATATAAAGCTCAAATTTTCATCGTCGGTTAATGTGGACATAAATTTAGCTATGAAAAATTATGTGCTATAGTACTGTGAAACTCAAAATTAAATTCGCTCAACGAGGAAGAAAAAACAAATTCTCTATTCGTTATGTCATAAGTTACGTGAGCCTGTTTCTAATATAAGAACAGATAACTAGCGTACCTATCATAAAACTCAGGTGTGCCGGTGATGATGAAGTTGTTAACTCAACAAACCAGAAGAATTGAGAACGAACCAACTTGAAGAAAGAACGAACAAACGCGAAACATTCGATCGTACGGCTTCGGGATTGAATTTCTTGGAGTTTCGGCAACCAGGCGGTGTTGGGGGTGGTTCCGAATGTTCATCGGGGTTTCCATCGCCACGTAAATGACCCAAACTGAAAGCTCGCAAACGTCAGGCATCGTCGACGGAACGATAACCAGCTGTTTATCGAAAACACATTCGTTTGGGCGGAACTTGGTTGTGTTTCCGATTTCAAACGATACCCCAGAGCAAACCGATATCGTACGAGCACCAAACGGACTTCAGTAACGCACGTTCGTCCTTGTAGAGCTTCTGTGTAACGCAATACTCCTGCAGACCGGCGGCGGCACATTAAGCCCCATGCGCAACGTCGTTAAACGACCCGTCATTTGCCACACGTTTGAGCATCATGTGTTATACTGTACAGTCGAGTGACACCATTTGGGGTTGGTCGAAATTGCAAGCATGAAAAAATGGAGACTCGAATTTACGTTAATTGTGTGTGTGTGTTTTTGTTTCAGTTTTTTCAATGTTTCGTCGGAAGCCGTTCAACGGTCAAGCGTCACCGGGCTTAATAAGCGACAGCGAATACCTATGCGAGCGCGCGACAGGTAGCAATTGGTCGTGAAAATTCGCTCGTGCCCGGAGGGAAAAGGTTACGCGAGGAAATTCCTGTTGCTCGGGTTACAACGTGATATCGATACATTATGGCCACAAATCGCGTTCGAGGTATTTAGTCGCGTTTCAGCGAGATATGGGGCGCAGAATTTAAATTTGTTAACGATTTTACGGTGGATAGTTAAGCAGGAAATAAACTGTGAGTTTTTTTTTCTAGAAAAGTTTAGAGTCAATGAATCTCCGATTGGTCACTTGGTTTTCTGCTTGTTTACCTGAGAATTATTATTTTTACTTGTATTATGAGGGTGTCTTATAAGTGTTATTGTTTTTAATATTACATTTAAGTGTAAAAATATACTTGTAGTTATTTTTAACCGTCGATATGATTATTATTTGAAAAGGATTTGGATAGCTTCTCGAATTCTACTTTGTTCGAATTATCGGCTTGATTATCAATAATTTGTTGTCTTTCAAAATTATGTGCGAAATGAACTAAGGTTACCATTGTTTCTATCGAATATGCAAAATGTCTTCTATTATTTATACTATGTTTTAATCCATCTATGCATACTGTACTTATTTCCTACTACACCAATCTATTATATTTGTGTACCTTGCATTGGTTTCATTTCGCTTATATGGAGGTTAGGATTAAAAACAGAAATCAATATTAACACGAATGTTAATTAATTTTCAAAGTCGATCTTCTCGAAGACGAAATCTCAATTTCGACTTATTTTTTTCTTGTTTTATTTCGACATTTACAGTTTCCTAAAATTTATCGAGCTCTTAAAGGATCAAATAGGCCGCAAAAATTTATACAGCCAGTCGTTCCCACATTTCGTATTCACCCTCGGCTGTTCCTACTGCATTTCCGAGACGGGCTTTTCCACGCTAACTCGTCCGGAAACCTATCGTTCCGCATCTCCACGCTACCTTAACCCCTGGTTTCAGCTCTCTTCACCGCCGCGACGAGAGGAACAAACTTCATCGTTCCGCTTCGTATTCACCCGATATATTAACGACGTAAACGACGATCGGTCGTGTACTCTTTAGAATCCGCGGTCGGACGATGTTATATCGAGTACGTGCACGCACGAGCTGAAAAATGAATACGATTACGTCGTGAATAGACAAGGTCGGTCGACTCTTGCCGCTCCAACCCGGCGAACGGTCGTCGAAAAAAGGAAGAGAAAGGAGAGAGAACCAGCTCGCTGATTACATCGAGGGACTCGCGGTTCTTTTTTCGCGTCCGACTTTTCCGGGTAGCGCGAGAACGCTGGAGAACCTATTCAACCCTTTCACTCTACCCTTACTGGAGGCTTTCATTCGATGTCGTCGTGTTGGATTGGTCGTCTGTTCCCGAGCTTTTCAGTGATTTCGCCGTATTGTTTCGAGCGAAAAAAATTTTTCTCGTAATTACTAACGTTGGATCATTATTACTGACGTGCGAATATTTATCAGGATATACGGGGTGTTAATAAAAGTTTGAAACATGTTCAGAGGGTGGATCCTAGATGCTAAGGTAAGATGAAAGTCAGGAATGAAGAAATTTTGTTGGAAACTTCGTTTCTGAATTTTTAATGGTTGAGAATATGGACAAAATTAGTGTGAAATATGTCTGGCGTGATAGGTTATAATATTCAGATGACATATTTCAATCTATGAATGAAATAAAATGAGACGAATGAACCAAGTGGTTAAATATTTGGAGAACGAGCTTCACAAATAGAATAACCCGTCGTGTCAGACGTTAATTCACGTACTTCTCGCCCGTATTTTCAACAATCAATAACTCGTAAACAATTTCGGTATATCTGTTTTTCATCATAGTTTAGAATGTATTTGGAATCCACCATGTTAAAGTGTCCGACATTTTTCTTAAATTAAGAGCAAAATTACAAACATAATAAAATAACATAACAAAATAAAAATCCCTGTTAAGCTTTCTTAAGTTTTTTAGTATACTGGATTTTAAGTACTCATGTGCGCTACAAATGCATAAAATCCACAGTCTACCCATTTTCTTCATACAGATAAAAACGGAATAATTGAAGTTCGCATCTGTTCTGAACCGTGCACACGGCTGGCAATATTGAATTTCTGCGTCGTTGCAAATGAAAGGATCGGTAACTGTTCGTCACGGAGTTACCGCGAATCGGTACGCCACGTTCTTTGCAGGTGACTAATCCTCTACTCCGAAACGAAACCATCTGTGTATCTACGATTCTCTTATACAGAATCTTATTTCAACGTTACGTCGAAACGCGTTCGTAAATCCCGTCGAGTTTCGTGTTATGGGTCGGTTTATCTTTGAAATTACATGGAGCTGCTTTCGTTTCCCAGCGTTGTTACACACGTACAGCTCGATACCATCGGCCGGTCGAATTATCAGCTGGGGGAAAAAAAAATGCAACAACCGGAAAATTTTAATTTTACCTTAGCGAAACGGCCAGTGTTCAGGCAACGATTTAGTTAATGACCCGGCCCGAACTTAGAAAACACTCGCTGAAACCAAATCACGCCATCGAAAGCGTCACGAAATGATATCCGCCATAAAATATTGCTGTAGATTATAATTTATGATTGACGTGTGTATTTTGTTCGAGGTATGAATAAGTCACGCGTTTCTTAACGAGATCGTGATAGTAATTTGATAAATTATTATGGGAGTCGAGACACAATTACAAATATTTTTCAACATGCACATTAACATACGTTATGCAGTGATGACTAGACTACGAATTTTATGCTCTTATCGTGAATGTGCAAAACAAAATGTAGTCAAAATTTTCC